ATATTCTTATTGAATTTTGCTACAGGGTCTAATTAACTGGATCTTTTTAGGAGTATTTCCTCTGTATCTAATGAAAATTTCATATAGCGTGGAGACTAAAATTACCCACCACTTATATGACTAGTAATCTTAATCTTAACCTCAACTTTTCAAAATGACAACAACAAAACACAAACAAACTTTGCAGGGTGATCCATTTGGCAAGGGTGGATGTATCTTCTGGGAAAGAAGGGCTTAAGTTGAACAGAAGTGGAAAGAACTATGTATGGAAGGAGTGGCAAATCTTCAAAGGGCCTTGTCTGAATTGTGTGGTCATCCACCACAGGGTCTGCCATCTGCCCCTGGTTTTTGATGTCCAGAAGATACGATTATAGAGAGTTCTTCCTGGTCCTCGTTGCAGTTCAGTGAAGTTTATATTTGTAATCCCGTGGAGAAGTTACTGGAATTCTAGTGCATTAACTCTTATCTACCATTTCCAGGGCAACTCATAGTGAGAATAAAGACTCCATGGCAGGGCTGGGAATTTAGCTCAGCGGCACAGTGCCTGCCTGGCAAGTGCAAGGTTGTGAGTTCTGTTCCCGGTACCGGAAAAAAACAACGGCAAAAAAGACACAATGGCATATTTGCTGTTATGGGGAGCAAAGGGTCCTAACTCCAGCTACAATGATGGCTAACTGGAACAAAGGCATGATGGCTAACTGGAACAAAGGCCTTGACCCAGGGCCAAATTTGGGTTTTATTAATTCATGAAGAAAGGAGTGGCTTCAGGATCAGTGACTGTGAGAATGGCAGGAAGTATGTGAGTGCTACAAGCTGAGCTAGGTTGGAGGCCTGAAATCACCTCTGCAAGGTGCAGAGAGGAGGATATGCAGAAAGCGTAATCTGCATGACACACTGAGGTAATAGGTGATGTTTTGGGGTTGTTTCCTCAGCTTTGGTGTGTAATTTTTTATGCCCTGGGAAATCATAGCCTCTGTCTCGAAGCTTGATCCCAGCCGGCAGTATGCAGCATGGCTCTCCATTCTGCTTTGACTCGCACATGTTTTACTTGGGAGCTATGGGGTGCAGAGAAACACTGCTCTGTCATCTTTGCTTCAAAGACTACACAACAGCACCTCAGCTGGACCAATCTGCATTGCTTAAAACCAATTGAAGGGATAAGGAAAAGTCCCAGCCAGCTCTGTACATATCAATACATGGAAATAGGGCCAGGTTCAGCCAAAATGGAGACAATTGTTCCTCCTTCAAGCAGAGTCACCCAGGAAGTTCTCCACATAAGACCTTTTGTGTTTTAAGGCATACATAAATCACTCAGAACTAAACAAGATTTTTCATTGTCTGCTCTGGTGCTAGACTCTTCTGTATAGCGAGCTCACATTCTGTCTATGTACCACGTACAGTGATTCAGTCACGCTGATCTTCACTTCTGCACAAACATGGAGCAGGGCCAGTTGGTGTGTAGGTTGTCTATTCATCTGAACCAGACACTCTCAACTCTACATCCTGAATTTTCCTCTAATCAAGTCTATTCTATAGTTGTATCCTGAGCTTCCTCTTATGTAAGAAGCAGCTACTAAGTCAAAAGTCTACCATTTAATCCTTGTAAAAATTAATAGGAAACTGTAGCAAAATACCCAAGAAATAATAGATTAAAATAAGACACATTAATGAGAGTCACTCAAAAAAAGGAGGAAAATAACTATAAAGGTGACAAAGAAAGAATTTAAAAGATCCCAGAAAACAAAACAAAATAAAAAACCGGTGGAATGGAAGACAAGCAGCACCCCTGACTTGCTGCATTGGCCTGCTAGGGATCCATGACAACACGGCACACAATTGGTCACTTACACAGCACAATTCTTCTTTCTCACAATCCTGGAGAGCACAAGTCCAAGATCAAGCTCTTCTCCCCAGGCTTCTCCTTTTGGCTGGCAGATACCTGCTGTTCTATTCTTTTTGCACATGAGCTTTCTTTTGTGCACCCAGATCCCTGTGTCTTCATGTACCCTAATCTCCACTTCTCTGCTTTTAATAAGGATGCCAGTTAGATTAGATGATGAATAGAAGTCAGCCTATGAAGCCCCCACATTGTAACTAGAATTATATGCAAATACTTGCTATATCTATGTATTTGTTTTTCCCTAGCTTCACTAACTATAAGGCCTCTAACATGCATCAAAACTGCTATGGAAGCCATTGTACATTTTGGGAGATAGATACTTTCAGAGTGAATGGCCATGCCATAGACAAATCAAAGCTGTATGGGCAAAGAAATCCCCGGGACAAGCCAAACTTTCTTGAGGTCGTAACTGACCACAGTTCCTCTTCTTCTACAAAGCTATCATCATCTCTTGCATCGCTCTACATTATCGCTTCTGCACTCATTCCTCTTGTGCTCCTCTCCAGTCCAGTTTATATCAGACAATTGGGAGACCCGCATAGCCTACACAATACGTACTGATTGGGTCTGTAAAAGTCTGATTAAAAAATTAGTTATGAGCCAAATTGAAAATCTAGACACTACTATGGCTAAACTCTTGGGATTCCTGGGGCTGACTGTGGAGTGTTCTAGTGTCTCAGTTATAATGTCTACCACACGTATGGCTGTGATTTATATGTGCAGTTGGTGATACACGTACACACATATACACAGTAGCACCATCTCTGAGGAAGAGATATTTTGATCCTAAGTATTATTGATACATAAAAATACTGAAATTTTCCAATGGACATTCGAACACAACCAGTTTACTGCAATAGTTTTTAAAGGGACATAAAATGTCTTGAATAAAAATATCATTTTTCTTTTTTTTTGCAAAATCACCATACAAGCAAGTGATGGCTTTGTGACCACTTGTGTATTGCATTTATGGAAAATATCAGATAAAATGTCTTCCTGTTTAAAAATAAAATTACCAAATTAGAAATAAATGACTAATAAACTATTTTTAAAAAGATGGGACCAAAAGCAATGACACTCAGTAGTACTGAGAACATGTAGTATTCAGATATTGGTTTCCAAACACTATTATCCAACAAAAAAGAAAAAAAGGAGGCTCAGAGAAATAGTAGTTTCTAAGACCACAGCAGAGAATATATAATATAAACTTGAACATTTTACAGTATCAGATAATTTTTAATAAAATACAGAAAGACTTGTCAAAAACAGAGGCACTGATAAAGGTGTTTCTAATAACCAAAACTGGAAAAATTGAGAGAAAAAGACAGTATTACATGATAATCCATGAATAATAAATGTCCAGGAATTCATACTGATACGTCAATAAGCAATTGAACAAATAGTAGGAAAGAACAGACAAGTCTTCCATATGGAATTCCATCTAGTAATAGAGCAATACAAAGCCACCATTATACAAAATTCACAATTATGATTGTTGCAGCAGAATCAACAGGTAAATTCTATGATTATTGAAATGAGCTAAAATTGGAGAGTAGGTTGGCACACTTTCAAAGTAGCTCCCAACAGTATTTATTAATTACGAAGGGATAGATCATGACTTTGCAGTTGGCAGTATGCACCAGAAATGCACACTAACAGGTGACCTAGGTTAACATCATTAGTAATAAAATGTATCAACATCATAAGCCCCATGCCCTCGGGAGAACACAGCATCATTTCATGATGCTCACATCAAAAATTATCTGAATTCAATTATAAGAAAACTGCAGAGAATCACAGATTGAAGAATAATTGCCAAAATAACTGATCAATAATATTAAAAATGGTCAAAGTCATGAAAGGCATGGAAATAATGTCAGGAAAGACAAGGATTAAGACTAGGGAAGTGTTTCAGAACACAAGATTAAGGGGCAATAATAATTAAGTGCAAAATGGAATACTTGATGTGATTCCGGAACAGACAATAGTGATAAAATTTGACAAAGTCTTTCTTTCATTTAATAGTACTATATCAATGAAATTTTCAGGTTTTGATAGTTGCAATAGAGTTAAATATTAAAAATAAGAACTACACAGAATTTCTGTACAAATTTGCTATAAGTTTAAAATATTTCATAATTAAAAATTTAAAAAATAAATTAAAATCTGATTTACAACAGCAATCCCTGAGTAACCTATTTATTTCTTCTTACAAGCTAATGTTTTCTGGGTTTTTAAAAATTTTTGTTTTTTACTTTGTTTTTATTTTTTGAGATAAGTTCTCCCTATTTATTCCAAGCTGGCCTTGAACTCAGGGCAACCTTCCTGCCTCAGCTTCCTGAATCTTCGGATTGCAGGAACGTGCCACCATGCCTGGCAGCAATCCAATGTTTTGAAACAATGTCCCATCATATTCTATATGAATCTATATTCATATTCTATTGAATCTATATTCAATGGTCCTTTTGTTTTTGAAGATCTGTTTTTCTATTGGGTATGCGCAGCTACCGCCATTATCATGCAATTATTCTTGTGTATGTGTCTCTGTGTGTGTGTCTGTGTCTGTGTGTGTGTGTGCGCGCATGCATGAGCATGTGAAACAATTCAACCCAACTCCTGTTTGCATGAAATCAAGGAAACACAACAAACACTGGCTAGTGTATAGAATAGATTTTTCAATTCTTTTTCAAGATTTACTATTTTCATGTCCAAGTTGAAAATTTATTGAAAGAAAAATTAAAATGTGTTTCATGTGATCTTTTTTAACTTAAAAATCTGACAATGCCTTACAGTACAAAACCTTGTAATTCAGAGAAATAATTATGAATGCAAAGTAATAGATAGAAGTGGCAATAGAAGACACAGTTGGCTTCTGATAGTAACACTAAGTGAAATAAAATCAGATGCAAGCTTAAATATCCCATGGTTTCTCTTATATGAAAAACCCAAAACATAAATGACAAACAGGGTAAAAGACAGGTCATAGGAAAAAAGAAGGCAGATCTTTTGCAAAAGAAGCAGTACTAAAAATGAAGGGAGGAGTAAGAGAGGGGAGGAAAAGGGGTTAAAAATAAAATTAAGATGTGTTATATACATGTACCAGCTCCATACAGTAATGTAATCCTCACGTACTCCAAAATGGACTAAAAAAAACCTGAAAAGAAAGAAAAAACTAACTTTTATCACTCCCAATTTTAATATGTCACAAATCAACTTCCTTTCTGACTGCCTCGGAGTCCCTATGTGTCATGCTACTTAAACTGAGTGACATCAAATAAGGCGAGAGGTGTGCACTCGATAGGAAACACCTATTTTTCTTATTGCAAATCTTCAGTACCATCTTTCTAATTTATTTCTCTCTTCACTCCTGTGTCTGCTTCTCTTGTCATCTACTGTGGTCCATCAAACATTGCTATCTCCCCAGGGACTGAAAAACATTAATAAATCAAACCTACAAGCTTCAGTGTCATGCGGTTTTCCTTATATAAGAGACCCAAAATGTAAATAAAGAGCCAAATGAAAGATAATAGGCAGGAGGGAGATAGATCTTTCTCAAAAGGGAAGAGGATCTGGAGGAGGAGGAAGGGAGAGGGGAGGGAAGGAGGGGGGATGGAAAAAGGGATTAAGATGAGTTATGTACATGTCCCAGTTCCACACAGGGAGGTAAGCGTATGTACTGTAACTGTGTACTAAAAAAAAAATTCAAAATATAAGTATATACAAAATGAAAACATTAATTTAAAAAATAAAACTAATATATTTTATTTTCCTGTGAATCTCTAATAAATATTCCCTGACTCTGACACGGGTTCATGTTAGAATATAGATATATTTGAGGATATTTATAACTGGTTTAGGAAGTGTGCAAAATTGTGAATAATCTGAAATTTGTCCAGACTTCATATTCTCTGCCTTATATTTTCACTAAGATAATTCATTTGTTATCCCATTTTTTAAAAAAAAAATAATATGGATAAACAAATACGAATAGGAGCCCATGCTTTGGTATGAAGAGATGCAAGTAAAATGTCTTATAAGGGTGACAGAATTTACATCAACCTGTTTTGTTCTTAAAAAAACAGCTCAAACAAAGCACATCCTTTAATTTAAAAATAACAATAAATGAAATGATAGCAGACTCAAGCTTTAAATTCTTCACTAATCTAATTGCAGTTGCTTGATCACTTCCCACAACACTATTATTTAACTTATCTTGCCCTAATTATAGTGTTCTACTTTTTAGAAGAATTATCTTCAAATGTATGTTTGCTCTTTAATATGTTGGTATTTTGAAAGTGAAAGATGCTACACTTGCGTCTCCCTCTCCTCGTAGTTCTTAATGTTTGATCCCTAACAACAATTTCAAAACCTAAAAGTAAATTGGTATTTTACAAAAACATTCTGGTTGGTTTTAAAGAATTTAGTCAAGACAAAATAACGGGTTTTAATTTTCTATTTTGTGAAATAACATATTCTGTGGTGAAAGAGGAGCAATTACAGTTATTTGTTTTTACTCATTTTCACTTGGAATGCTGTGAGCCTAGAAGCAGAGGTAGTTGCGAATGAATGAAATAGAGGATTTTTTTTTTATTAGTGCTTGTTTTAATGTTTAGAATTGGTTACATGAAATTCTGTTGACTAAAGAGGGACTGATTTCATAATGTCCAGACAAGACAATGCCCAGTCCTATATACCCACATATCAAATCTGTCACTTAATGTTTTTGTTGAAAGTCAGACACATCACAAACCTAACACATGAAACTAGAGCTCCTGATGTATACACCAACAAGCCACCTCTTGCCATTATGTCATATCAGATAACAGTAGCATCATTATTTCAACTTTACATGACCAAATGCTTTGCAGTTGTGGTTTTAGGGTTCAGGCTTATCCAGCAAAATCTTATTTCAGAAAGCTGAACATTTCAGCTGAATTCAGTCTGCAGTCAGAATTCTCTATTTTCAAGAAATCTCAGTCTTTGCTTTTAAGGTATTCATTTATTTTCGTGAAGACCATCCAGATTATGAAAGGTAATATCCTTTAAAGTAACTTATTCTAAGTGTTAATTATAACTAAAGTAATACATTTTCATCAACATCTAGATGAGCAAGTAATTGGTCACCCAAGTCTAGCCATGTTCACATAAAAATCACTGTCATAAGAGTCATTCTTGACTACCCTTCACCAGAATCCAGCCATTAAACCATCCCATCTGCTCTATTTACTACCCTGGCAGAAGTTATCACAATCACTTGCCTAGATCATTGCAATAGCACTTTGCTACCAGGTTTCTCTACTTCTGTCTTTTGCATACTCTAGGCACATAACCTCCTACCTCAGGGTCATTGTCCTTGCTATTCTTTTTCCTCCAAGGCCATTTTGCAATTATTCTTGTGACTGAATACACACTTCTAATCCTAATTCAAAAGTCACTGTCTTGGTCAGCTTCCCATTTCTATGCAAATACCTGAGATAAACAACATATAAGGACGAAAGACTGATTGTGACTCACAGTTGTGGAGGTTTCTGTCTTTGGTCAGCCCGTTCTGTTGTTTCTGTGCCTGTGAGAAGGCAGAACATCACTGTGGGAGCTCAAGGCCAAGAATGAGGACTGTCATGGTGGCCTGCTGGTGAGAAGGGGACGAGGAGGAGCAATGAGAGAGAGGGAGAAAACCATTTCCTGGAGTCCCAACATCCCCATGGAGGACAGGATCTCACTGATCTAATTTCATTTACTAGACCCCACCTATGAATGGTTCTACTCTTTCCCAATGGGGCTACAGCTGAAGACCAAGCCTTTAACACATTAGCCTTTGGAAGACATTGCAGATCCAAGTTATGCCAGTGGGCATCCCACTAGGTTTTTCCTGGCCTCCTCTATCACCTATTATGAGCTGTCCTTCACTTTCCTATTTCTTGGTTTATTTTTTATATACTATCTTAGTTAACTATTACGTATTGTTTTTCCTTCACTAAAATGTGAGCTCACTAAAATGTGAGCTCTATAAGGTAAGGTAAGGGAGAGAGAGAGAAGGTAAGGGAGAGAGAGAGAGAGAGAGAAGGGGAGGGGGATGGACATGCACACTCATAAGGAGAGGTGCTACCATTAGTAGGTATTCAATACTAATACTACTACTTTAATAATGGAAGTGACTTTAGAAATTAACAAGAATTAAAGGAAATTTTGTGATCTGGTGTGTCAGCAACATAAATACATAAGGTATTATTCAAGGCAGAGCGGAAAAACAAGTTCATAAATTTTGGCTTAAGCCAGATTAGCACAATAAGGAGACAGCAAGCATTCAGTGTCAATGAAATGTTAAGTTTAAGGGTGGGGACAATTAGTATAGAATGAACTTAGATTAGTTAGCTGGAGGTGACTATAAAATATCTTGAGGGAACAGTGTCCTACACAATAGAAGAGATTGAAAAATTTTAAGTAGTGTGACAAAGCCAGTCACATTTTTACTAAAATAAGTCATAGACTTTAATTTCAATAACATGTTAGAGTAGGGCTATGAAGAGAAGTGGCTGTTTCTGAAATAATCTTGCTTACAATAACTCTCAGGGTCACTGAATCTTAAGGGGAGAAAAGAAAGTGATAACAATGTTATTAAAGATGAAAATCTATCTCCTATATTAAATACAAACAAAAAATGAGAAAAGTGTTGTGATTATTAATTTCTGAGTCTGTGTTGCACTGAACAAAAAAGTCATTTTGAAGTAATAAACAAATATAATTGTAACAATGACTTAGGTTCACATGGGAGCTGAGGAACTAATTATTTTCACCCTCTAAAGTACCTACTGCTGTTTATCAGGTTTGCAAGATAAATGCTTTCACTGTTATATTTATGTAAATCCCCCTTCAGTACCTTTCTTTTTATCAGTGCATATAAAAAATTGATTTCCTAATACTTTCTAATTTTTTTCAATTAACATACTTATACTTGCACTTTATTAAATTCAGTTTTTCTTGATGTGCAGTATCTTATCAACTTATCCCCAAAAAGTAGGTTCTGGAATCAATCAAGATTTGAGAACTTAATTTCCTCCCTGTGAATAGAGTCTACCTCTTCTCACCTTCTGAATGATACCCCCTGCTTTCATTATGTCAGAACCAGTAACTTCACCCTTGCTAAAGCCTTAGGAAGAACTGAAAAATGAAACTAAAAGTTGTTACTAAATCTCATTATATAATGAAAATTGCTGAATAATTTAAAAAAAAAAAAAAAAAACCTCTCCAAGCAGAAATTTTTCTCATGTGAATTGTTCATCCTCTCGTTGGAAGACAGAATGGGCATGTTCATTTTAATGTTACATTACAATGAAGAAGTAAAACCATACCCTTCATTATATTCACTAAATAGATAATGTCTATCAATGCACATTTCTATGTTTCTTATGCTCTGCAAGCACCTTCTAAAAGAGGATAAAACAGCATTTTCTAGATGGAGAAAGAAGCAGACCGGTGAGACCATACCTTTAAGTGCTTTAAAGAATACATTGGAATAGATTTAAGACCGATCAATTACACAAATAATTCTTAGGCAAACTCAAATAGTACCTTAGAGGAAAGAATGGGAGTTTCTCCACCATTCTTCCTTCCTTAGATATAGAATGGCTCCAATTTGATTTATGGGTTTCCTAGTTTTATCCATTTTGGTTACTTTTGAGCACAAAACTAACACCAACTGCCTCGAGTCTGACAAGGATGGCCTTGAAGTGCTTAGTCTGAGTAAACTTTCGACAGGCTTATCCTGACTGTAGGCCCACAACTCCCCTTTCACTACAGCTTTTACTTTAGGTAACTCAGAAGTTTTTATTTATTTGTTTATTTATTTATTTTTCTGTCTACTTCAGAGGCATATTTCCTGTATCACAGAAATGCCTTTCGCAAGGACTTGGGAAATGTCACCAATAAATATGTACAACCCTGAGCTCCTGGTCTCCAGAAGAGGGCAGGAGAATAACTTTGGGATAACTGCCAGTTAGCAAACATAGGTGGTCTATCTTGACCATCTTCTCATCCCAGATCTCCTGCAACTTTCCCACTTGCTTGCCACACCATTGCAAGAGTTGTTTTTTGTGTTAATGGAAGTAAACTCATTCTCTTTTCCCATTGTAGCAGTCTTTTTCCTTTGGAATAGTGGAAGGCTTGAACACGTCTTCTTTGTGTTACCTGCTGGTGAAGCCTATCAGCTCAGGTGTGCTTTTTCGCTGCTAACCAAATCAAAGGAGGCCATTTGTTGTTGATGAAAAGCAAAAAGGATTTATTCAAAGCTGGTTCAGAGGCTGAGGGGCCTTGTTCACCTTAAATCATCATCTCATCTTGTGCATGTGCTTTAGGGCCTCAATTGAGAAGCACATGTAAAGTCAGGTAAGAAAGCAGACTGGTCATTTTTGAGGGCCTCAAATACTAAAAGTCTGCTAGGTTGATGCTTAAGAAAACTGAAATACCTAAAAAGTTAAATTTATAAATTTAGTTTAAAATTCTTAAAAGAATTTAAATAGCTAGATTGCTGAAGGAAGTTATTGTTTAAGAGAATTTGTCATTAAATATGAACTAGCTAGCCAAATAATAATTAAAGAATAAGTAAAAGGGTAGAGGCAACTGCTTTTCATCAAATAAAATATATTTAGGTTGATAAAGGACATGATAAAATTTATAAAACAAAAGAAGTTTGAAGATGAAAAATATTTTATAATTTGTAACTTTAATAAATTAACTGCCAATATCAACAAAGTATCAAACACTTTCAGTGCCAAAAGGCATTCTAAAAACTCACATTAACTAATCAAGTTTTGTACTGATTTATCCAGTCTTTCAGGGATTATCTTGAATAGCTTGACCACTGATTCACTAAAAGGTCAATGAAAGGATTTCAAATATTATGTGTGGAAAAATTATCTGTACAAAGTTTTTTTACTTATTTTTGAAAATAAATCAACACTCAAAGTATCTGCTCCTTTAAAAAAATCTTCTGCACTTTAAATGTCAAGAAAAAATATATTTTCCTAATTTTATTTGATGTTTATTTTAGCTAGCCTAAGTGACTTCATTAGGTCTTTAAAGACTCACTGATGCGTTTATATGCATAGGTGGAATTCTTTAATGTTTAAAGAAATGTGAGTCTTTAGAACAAAAACAATTGTGCCCATTTAGAGCATTGGTTTCTAATTTTATTAAATTATTTTAGAAATAGTGCTGTGCTAAATACCATATTCTAATATATCATAAGTGTTCCTATCCACGTTATAAGTGTTGAAAACAAATGCTAAATAATATTTTTTAAAATACAGTCAAGTTTTGATTTCTAAGCATAATTCATTCCAGAAACATGCTTGTAAACCAAAGTACTTGTACATGAAAGCAAATTTCCCCATAAAAATAATGGATATTTTTACCATTCCACAAGCTGAAATGTATTCATATAAAATGATTACAGTACTATCATACAAAATAATAAAGACAATATAAAGAAAAATAAACAATTTAATCTGCTGTTACCTTTGAAAAGCTCTGTGGCTGGTGTGAGGGAGATAAGAGATTGGAGGGTTATTGTGTAGGATGAATTTCACTATCACTAACAGAATCACTGCTATTTATTCAGTGGAATTTTGAGTGTGTGTGCAAATTTAATAAGCAACCTATCCAATGACATTTGCTTTTGTCTCCTTTTGAGGATTTTGCAGAAATGTGACACTGCATTTTATATAGAGGAAAGAAATTCCTGACCTGCTAGGCTTCCAGTACAAGTTCCTGTTCTCTAAAATGAAAGAATGAATTTTTAGGAACAACGGAGGTTAACAGCAGAATATATCTATTGGGGGAAAGAAAGCTTCTGTCTGAGAGTGAGGCAGAAGGTGTCTGGAGTATGTTGCCAAGGGACCTACTTTTCTAGGGATTTTTATAGAGCAAAACCATGAGGTGCAGTGGGTTCAAGCTGGGAAAAATGGGAAATCACAAGGTGGGCATGAGACGGGACAAGGTCAACCGATAAGATTATGAACATAATTACTCAGGTAATATTGAATAAATGGGGATCAGATGGGCAAGTCATGTAGCAAGTAGGCATGAATACAGAACAAGGCCTTTTCCTGTGGAGGGTTGGGTTAATGGCTCTTCCTGGCTTTCTCAAGGTGATGGATGTCTATTTAGACTATCAATCCCTGATGTTTATCCTTAAGAAGTGTCTTAGTTACTTTTACCTTGTTGCTGGGACAAAATGCTCAATGACAAAAATTAAGGAAGGAAAGCTCAGTTTGTGGAGGTTTCAGTCCATGCTCAGCTGGCTCCACGGCAGAGTGGCACATGGCAGAGGGCAACAGGTCATGATGGCAGAAAACAGCAAAAGCAACAAGAGCAAAAGGGAGGAGCTCGAATAAGCCTCTTCCCTTCCCTTGTACTGTATGCAAGCTACCCACCAGGATGGGTGTAGCACTCATATCCATAATCCCCACACTGGACCATGAATCAATCAAAAACTCCAGAAGCCCATCCCATGACCACATGAGGCTTTTGGTGGAACATCTAGACACAAACCATAACAGGAAGTATGTGAGTGCATTCATTTCATCTTTTGTCTTGAGGTCTAGCCCTCAGCAGAGGTGTCTGTCTCATGGGTTTAGCCCTGTCTGACTACCTATGATATTTCTGTGTAACATATCTATAACATACTGTTGTTAAACAGATTTATCACTCATACTGCTACAGCCTTATTCTGGTAGTGATTTTCCACAAAATTTTACAGTGTCTCCCACATTTTACATTTCTTCCTATTCTCATTTGATGTGAGGGATTTCCACTACCTTTTTCTCCTCCTCCTCTGCAGATGAGGTCTCCTCCATAACCTCTTGTTGGGAGACAATCAACCACAATCCCGCAGAGAGAGGAGGAGAGAGGGAGACAGAAAAGAAGGGCGACGGGGAGAGGCAGAGAGAGAAAAGAGCCACTGGTTCAGTTGAGATCATGTGATATTTGGCATCATGAACTGCAGTGATCCCTCACCTGTCATGGGAGTTATGTTCCAGAGGCCCCCGCAATAGGTGAAAATCTGCAAAGAGGTGGCGTTATATTTATTTTATTATTTATATATACATTTAAGGCTTTATAAACACTTCCCGCACTCCTGCACACTATCCCCGGGCGACACTTCTTCCCAAAGCGTCTCGGCTTCCAGCTGGGGCAGTGCCTGGGGACGCCCAGTGAATGGGTATCTCAGCTCTGACGGCAGGAGCGGAGGATGGGACGGGTGTGGATGGAGGGCGGGAGCGGGCGGGGGAGTGGGGCCCGCGGGACCAGCCCCGCCGAGCCCAGTGCCTGGCCTGCACTGCTTGCCCCGCCCAGGCCTTGCCCCGGAGGTGGTGCCATGTGCCCTCCTCGCCTATAAGCAGCACCAGCCCAGGTGGCTCTGCTGGGCTGGGGCTAGCGGTAGTGGCGAACTGCATTTCCATTGTGTACAGTAGTGTATTCATCCTCTGATGAAATACATGCTGTACAGTATTTTATTTCGATTTAATATTCTTTTAATATGTTTGAATTATCATTTTTATATTTTTAAAAAATTCTAGGGAAAAATAATAAAAATAAATAAAATCATATATATTATACAAATACCTATATACCGCAAAAATCCTGTGATATGACAAAAACTCTGTGATATGGCAAAACCTCTGTGATACAGAATTAGATACATCTTTTTAAAAACCTGTGATACAGTGAAGCCGTCATAAGTAAACCATGATATAGTGAGGGAGGACTTGTACTCCTATTGCAAAACATCCTCCATTAGTCAAGTCAACATTTATGAGAAACGTTTGTTGGTCTTGAGGGACACTCTTGAACAAGTTACTCACCATTCCAGGTTTTACTGTAACTGAAATGAGTAAGAAAATACATGAAGTATAAGAAGATCTCATTTTTCTGGGGTTCCCAAAGGGATCAAGTGTTTTTACTCTAATTCTTATAGAATAGCTAAGCACTTAACAGTAGGTGCGATGTAAATGTGTTCTACACATAATCATCCACCGTCAGATGTAAGACTTTCCCAGTCATAAAATTGTTTCTTTGGGAAATGATTTGAGGAGGTTTAATTTATTCTGTGAGCTTCAGGAAATAATTGAGTGACAAATGGTCACTTCCTCTATGCAGACATGAAGTTTCCTCTTCAGATTAATGTAACACTAAAGTTACTGTGTAGAGGGAAAGCTTCAAGGAAAAGCCAGTAGCACATAATTAAAAAGCTAATTTCAACACATTCAAGAGGAAAAACCTGGAAGGACTTCCCAGGAGGCTAAGTGAAAAATATTTACTGGCAAGGTTAATTAAAATAAAAATGAATGAAACAAGGATATAGAATGCAGGAATGTGGGGAGGCGGCAGGTCAAGAGGGGAAGAGGGTGACAGCATTTGTTTGCAAACTGATTTGAGAAAAGCAGGGAAAGCGTAAGCAAGAGCTCTTACACTCAGATTGGCATTTACTAAGTGCAGCTTGGCTGTTTTCATGGGTAACGAGGAGCAGCATTTCTCAAGGCAAGGCCACTCCATGACGCAGGGAAAGAAGCCAAGGAGAAAGCAGCATGTCTGAAGGCCATACCGTTTCATCCAGGAAGGGTGATCTAGCTCTGTGTACTGTTGGAAAGAATTACATGTGCATTACTGAGAAAGAAAGTCAGACCTTTTTATTTTTCATCCAGTTCGAACAAAAACCGGGACATAATCAACATAACAAAAGATGTGCTGATTACTTAATATAATTCTACTGCATTCATCAAAAAAGCCTTTCTCTCTGTATAAGCCAGTTCTCCACAAGTAGTTAGGTGTCTCACAGAGCTAATGAAAGGTAACCTCAAAGAAGCACTTACATTCACGTGCATTAGCAAAAGTGTAGGCACAGCCACCTACTGGGTATGCGATGAAGTGCAAGGACAGGTTCCCCATTATAAAGTACCTCCCTCCTGGGCTTGCTACTGTTCAAGAAATGCCCCCCAGCAGAATCTTTTACATATAGGCATTGTTTTCTCTGAAGGCCCATGTTAAAATGTGCATCTGTTAGCTAAAAGGAAAACTAGATTTAGTCCTAGTCTTCATCTGTAAATTTTGATTATATTGTAAATGGCATTTTTGGGCCCCAGCATTTCTTCTTTGTAAAGTATTCCAATTCATGTGAGCTGGCCTTAAAACATCTGTATAGAATTTTTATGTGTGAATTATATACAAAGTTAGTACTATATTTGTATTTTTAACCACTAATACATTTACAAATATAAATAAAATTTTACAAAGACCTTTACAAATATAAAATATGTTTATAGAATTAATGATAGTCAAATTAATGAGAAATTTAGTGGGAAGAGAGTACTGTCTTGCTTAAAATGAATTATTGAATAATTATTGAATTATTGTGTTACATAAGAAATGGATTTTTCCATGACTGGTTTCACTCGGATAGCACTTTTGATACTGTGGATTGAATGCATCATGGGCATTTTAAGCACTCATTGTTTATTCATTGATTTTGACTCTTTTCATCTGTGAATGGAGCTCAACATTTCAAGGAGCGCTTCTTGTAGACCTTGCATGTGTATTTTTATACCGGAGTCCCAATCAAGCAGTGTTGTAAACATAAAAATTCAAAGTCTACAATCAAGAAATCAATCATCAATTCTTAGTTTATAAGATGGTCATCCAAATGATGCAGCATATGTTTATTTTAAAATGTAATCACTCCACACATCTCAGTTGTTTAAATACAAATAAGGATCACAACTTCCCCAAATATTTCCATGGTTACAGAAGCTCTCACCAGATGCAGAGTGTGCTGCAGGGCTCCAGAGCAATGTTTACCTTTAGAAGATTCTGCCATGATGAGACTGTGCTACATCTGTACCATTCAGCACAGTCACCACTAGCAAAATTTGACTATAGAGTTAGCGGACATGTAGTTAATATGACTGGAAAAGTGAATAATAAATTCTATTTAAATTTGATTTACTTCAATTTAAATAGCTATGGTTTAGTGCCTACTATAATGGCCAGCAAAGCTGTAGGGTTTTTTTTTCTTTCTCCTGAAATCCTAACAAATTCTAGCTTTCCAAGATGTTACTAAAACAACTTGTATAGTAATTTACTCAGTCGATTTAATAGATTAAAACATGTACTTATTAGCTCAGAGTTTTGTGGGTCAGAAATTTGGGAGCAGCTTGCCTGGGTGGTTCTGCCTCAGTGTGTCACGTGCCACTGCAGCCAGGGTGTTTGCCAAGGCTCCCATGATCTGAGGACTCGACTGGCGCTGCAGGATGAGCTCTAGCACAGCTTGCCGTGTAGTTGCTGTCAGAAGGCCTCAGGGCCTGCTGGCTGCTGGCGGGACCTGCGTTTCTTTGCCAGGAGGGCTTCTCCAGAAGGCTGCTTAATGTGACCTCCCGATATGGAAGCTGGCTTCCTCTAGAACATATGATTCAAGCTTCTTTCAGAGTGTGTCAACACAGGAACGCAAAGTGCTTTTGATGACACAGTTTTCAATTCACGCCCTGTCACTTCCTCTTTCTTCTGCTTATTAGAGCCTAGTCACTATTTTCAGCCCACTCTCAGAGAAAGGAGAACACACTCTGACTCTTAAGCCTGGAAATGTAGCGCTTGCGCACACAATTTACATTTACCGTAGATGTATTAACTCGTAATAGAGCTAATGAGTGAAAAACTTGCCCTTGAACTTATTTCACTCTTAGTCTGAGCTCAGTGTTTTAATCATAGCTCTCTACTGCTTAGAACAATCACATATTCAAATGGATGATCTCTCGAGATCACATTTAGAAACCAAATGCAATCTAAATGCAAGTGTCTACCTTAAATTTTGTTGATCTTTAAAAAGCATGAATTTTAAAACTCTTAAATTCTCAAGTGCTACTTTACACTATGATTTCATCACTTAAAACTATTCCTTTTCCTCAGAAATTGGATGCATTATATTCAGAAGGAAGATAAAGTAATCAGAAAGGCTCTAAAGCCAAAATCCCCGGCATTTGGCATTCCAGGATCCAGTGACACACTGGAAAGTCAAGCTGTCTTGCTGTCTTCTAGGGAATGGCAGAGTGACACAACTCCTGTGTGTTTTCCGTAGAGTCTCATTTAAGCTGTGTCACACAGGCTGGTGGGGGGAGGTTCCCAGAGAAGCATAGTTCAAATGCAATTTCCAATCTTTATCTGATCTCTCGCAAAACAACAGAAAACATCCAAGTACATGTTGACTAGAACTCTTACCCAAACTCCCCCCTTCTATTCTCTAGTACCAGTAAATGCCTGAGATTTGCATTAGTCTGACAGAAGAGTCCTTGGCCATCCTTTCTGACAACCCAGCCCCCGTTCCTTCCCCTTTTCCATTCTACTCACATGGCAGCGTTCACAAACCTTCTCTTTGAGGTGATGATCCCTAAGGAGTATTTTAGTTCTTCTCTCCTCATTAGGTAAGCTAAAAAGCTTGGCTTCTGTCCTTTCTGTTTTCTTATGGACTATGACCTTAACCCAAATCACTAGCAACCTGAAAACTAGAAGAAACAGCAAGATAATGCAGTGATCCACAAGCTTCTTCACAAGCAAGTTGAAGGGGGACCATGTCTAAGAGTATTTAGTATTTTTTTCCACCACCCCCAATATAGTGAACTGCTGGCACAAAGGAATAGTGAATGCACAAGTTGGACACGAAACTCAGAAGTGGCTGAACAGAAAAACCGCCCAGAAAGAGATTTGCATTTAATAATTGGGAAAATCATTCATACCCTTTCTGTGAGGGAATTTGACTATGAAAACCTTGCAAAGGAAACCAGGGAATGGGAGAGCAGAAGCAGAGAGAGAAAGAGCTATAGGACAGTAAGCTGTGCATAAACAGGAGACCTGAGCAGACAAGAGGAAAATGGTTTTAAAATAAAGTCTGATTAACTGAGACAAGTCGAGTTGTAGCAGAAAGTGCTGCCCCACCAGTATACTTTAGTTTCTTAGTTGCTGCGGTAATGATAGTTTCTGTTCCAGTTGCTGTTGTTTCTGTCTCTTAGAAACTGCTGGTCACTGTGATGCATAGCTAGTCACTACGAGGCACATCGTATAAACCAATCCCCAGCTGACAAGCCATTCTGCCTCTGTACTTTCTGTTTGCTTTTCCTATACAAGCCCTACACCACCAGAGATCAGGGCCTGATTTTCTGGAAATGATCCTGATCAGTGCCTATCGACCTAAATAAATCTACCTCCAAATCCTGAGAGTCCTTTCAGTGTTTCTGCTTGCTGTTGCAAAGTGCGCCTTTCTCTTGCAACTCAGATGCCTCTGATACACCTATAAAAGTATACAAACTGTCTTTTCTATCTTTTAATAGCTTTTATTTAGAGTTACTGTTACTTCTTTTCTAAAATCTCAATGTCAGTTCTAGTATAAATTGCTACAGGAAGCGCGCTAGCATTCACTGGATGGCTGTTCTGTATCAGTCAAAGTTTTTACTGCCATGAAAATACTGACACGTCTCTGTTATTAGGGTCATTTCATATACAGATATTAAGTACTGAGCCACAGAGTATAGAAACAGCTTGCTCCAGGCTGTATGATTTGTAAGTGACAGAGGTGGTGTGTATGAGTCATTTTGAGCTGCTATACAAAATTCCCAAACCCTAGGTAATTTATAAACAACATAAATTTATTTATTGCTCTAGAAGATGAACAGTCGTCTAGAATAGGTGTTGCTCTCTACTTCCAAAAGGGTGCCTTGTCACTGTCACTTCCAGAGAGAAAAAAGCCTGAGATCTTCAGAAGATCTGAAGGACAAAGCTATACAAATGCTAGATCCCTCAGCCATGTCATAAACTCACTAATTTTATTCATGGGGGCTCATGACATAATCACCCTAAAGTCCCTATTTCTTAATAATTACTTTGGGCTTCAATTTTCTATAAGTTTGTGGAGGGGGGCTACACAAAAGTTCAAACCATAGAAGGTAGAATTTAAACCTAAATATTCTGGTTCCAAAACTCTACTATATTCTTTCACTATTCTAGATGAAAGAGTTCTTGGTTCACTACAGGGCAATTTCCTAACACATTATCCTGACATGAATAATTTCCTAACATCTTATTCTTACACAATGTAGCCCGTAACAGCCTGTATTTAATTCCACTACCTCAGTCCTCACAACCCTAGCCTCCTCTCCTACTGTCTTCCAAAACTGTAGCCTGCATGCTCTGTATTGCCTGGCTTTTCCCTTTTATGCCTAATCTGAGTGAGGGTGGGATCTCAGAGAAAAACAGCACAGAGAAACAGCAGGTCTCCCAACTGCCACGTTTTCCTGAATTTGAATTCTAAGGCTGCAGAATCCAACTTTGACAAATAACGTGATCTTTCAGACTGTTTCATAAGTGTTTATTCAGCCTCTCAGCTGAAGAACAAGGAAAATGAAATTTAGTGCTGAGCTATGTGAATGTAGCCCAGCTCTTGGAGAGTTTATTTTTATGACAGATTCCATTTTCTGCTGCTGGCATGATTACATGGAACACATTTGTCCACTGAGAGTGCATTTGTATCTTTTGCATGGGCTAACTCAGTGGTAGCATTTAATTTCTGCAATATTATTCACTTACCAGACCAAAAGATACTTCATGCTCAGAATTACAAAGTTTACTGAAATGGTATTACAAGAATCAGTTCTGAGAGGCAAAAGGAGCATCAGTGCTTAGCTTGAGACTGTCTTATCTTCAAAGTGCAAATATCAATGAGGTGATTAGCTTTATGGACAAATTTAGGTTTCAAGAGGTGTGAATATGTACTCTCTCATTAAGGTTATGCTGCAGTATTGTTTATTGTGTAAAGCTATAGTTGAAAATTGAAATAAGTATAGCATGAGACCGACAGGATGTATGTTAATAAGGACTGGTGAATTGGATTAGCGAACACACCTCAAAAAAGAGCTGTCTCTCATCAGATAACACAAATTGTTGAAATGCCAAAATGTAGCTCAAGATCAGATATTCTGACTCCTGAGAAGGAGGATTCCTGTGTATCTATGAAATAGCTTGATGTTTGAATGTTTGGCGAATGTGGTAGGCAAGATTCTAAGAATCACCACCAAAGACCAAGAGCATTCTTCCTTGTATAATCCTCTCCCCCTTGACTGTGAGGGGAATCTCGTAATATGATGACATGCTACCCTCATGATTATTACATGATATCAAAAAAGAAAAGTTCAAGAAAAACGACAGATCTCTGTTGCCTTTGAAGATAGAGAGGGCTATGCTCAAGAAGCAGCTAACCTACGTCTAGGATCTGAAGGCATTCCCAGACTAATAGCCAGACAGGAAGCGGTGATGTCAGTCCTGCAACCATAAAAGACTGAATTTTGCAAACAACTTGAAAGAGCTGGAAACGAATACTTCTTGAGGACTTTTAGAAAGTTCTCATCCCATCTAACTCGTTCATCTTGATCTTGTGAGATTCTGAACAGAGAACCCAGTTAAGCCCTGTGACTTATGACTTCCAGAACTGTGAACTAACAGATAGGCATTGTTTTAGGTCGCTAAGTATGAGACTAGTTTATACTCAGCAATAGAAAACTAGTGCCGTAAGCAATTCATTTTAGAATCTTTAGGAACGAGCTTAGCACATATCCTTAGTCAATGAGGTATCATCTGCAAATTTTGGTAGGATGAAGGTGTCATGAGAAGGTTCAGATACAAGAGATCCTAAACACATCTCCATCTTTCTATGTAATAAGTTATGCCATATGCTTCTGGTGGTTATCAGTGAAAGTCAGTCTTAAAATAAATGCATTTTGATTCAGTTTCTTAGATTGATTGAATACGTTTTGAAATGCAAGTGGAAATTCATCACAAAGTGATAATGGGTAAATACATAAGATGATGCAGTGCATAACTTAATAGAAATGAATTTATTGCTCTGTGGATATTTTCTGTGCTTGGTAATTGTGATAAATTAAGATGACAGAAATTTTCCTGTACTACATTTTTCCCCAAAATGATTTGGGGATAAGTATTTCTTTAAAATTTGATTGTATGCCTCCACAAATATGCTTTATTTTGAGTGACCCTTGTCTTTAAAGTGGATAGCAAATATTTCCACTCCCAACAGATTCCTAGGTTGAATAGGTTTTAATAAATATAGGACAAATTCAGAAATTTCAGAAAATATTGATCCCACAAAGTATTAGTTACCAATACATTTTGGAAAATTATTTTTGGTGATTTTTGTCATAAAATTCTTCTCAATTCCTGGATGAAGTAATCATACTCTTTGACTGAAATGATTTTCAAGTATGAAAATGATTAATCAGGATGTATTTTCTCTAGTATGCCTCACAAGACTCTTCATATATTCACCATCATTAACTGAACATCTATTATGTTCAATTTTGGCCATAAAATTTTCAGTTCCTGGTCCTAATAATAATAATGCTCTTTGGCTAAAGTGATATTTAGGTATCAGAATGACTAATCAGTATTTCTCTGGCAGCCTTCACAAGACTGTTCTTTCACCAGCATCAATCAAACATCTATTAGGTTTAAGTCACTATGTCATAAACAGGATACTAACAATGAATATAACAGAAAGATAAATTAGCTAGCAAAGTTCAAATATGCTATCACTTCCTGCTTTTCTTTTCTAATTCTTCTGGTATAGGTAAGGAATAAGCACACATGTTGTATTAAAGATGCTACTAAAAGTTTCTATTTCCCTTCTCCCTCACCACACACACAAACAGCAATTTAAAGACAAAAGACGACTGAACTCAGTGAGTCAGAGATGGAAAAGCTGGGCAGTGGCAGGATGTCCATTTCCTTTCACTATTTGCAGAGAGAAATCTGGAGCTACTAAACTGAATTTGAACTCAAGACACTGGGGAGACCATTCTGCTCTCCTTTGCAGACACATGGCCAAATCTGTACCATACAGGTCACAGAAGTCCATCTTCCTCTGCTGAAGGGTTTGGAGAGGGCAGTAGGGCTTTCAAGAGGAGGTTAGGGCCTTGAAGAAAGTTTGGGGACATCTGGTATGTTAGTCTGTTTTCTGTTGTTTTAACAGAGTACGAGAATGAGGAAGTTGTAAAGACAGTTTATTTTGCCTCTGAATTCTGGAGAGATAGGCTGTTCAAGGCATGTGCTGGCATCTGGTGTGGGCCTTGGAGCTGCACCATAGCATGGCAAAGGCCACCACAGGGTGCTACAGACCAAGCATGTCAGAGAGAAGTGCTTGCTGTTTTAACAAACTCACTTCCGTAATAACCCATAAGTACTTTAATCTATGAATTCACTAATCCATTTACAAAGGCAGAGCCCTCATGACTCAGTCACCTGCAGAATGCCCACTTTCAAGTACATCTAACATTTGGACTTGGGGACTTGGTTTCAAAGACATTAAATTTGAAGGCTATATGAAGCTATAACACTTGGTTACTAATGTTTTCACAAATGTAACATATTTGGGCCCTGAAGCTTTACCCCTTTTTCCAGAATTTCTAAGCTAAGTTCTTTTTAGTATAAGCCCCTGATTATGTCTTTAAAATCAACCATTCAGTTACTTAATAAAATTACAAAATGGTATATATTCCACAAATCAAATATGTCTATCTTTATTTGTTCTTAATTTTTTTCATATGCCTATCTTCAAAGGCCACTGATAATTATTAAAATTGACTGGAAATACTATAAGTTTACATTAAAGCATATCTAACACTGTTTCCCTTAGAATTTTCCAATTTGTATGTTATAAATATTAAATAAAGTATACATTTAAACTCATTACCCTCTGACTGCACAGTAGTTTTTTTTTCTTTGGGATTCCAGAAACTTCTTGTGGGGGGGGGGTAGGTGCCATCTTCCACATGAAGAGTAACAAAGTTGTCTAGATCTTGGCACTTTAAAAAATTTTTTTAGCATTTTGTATACTGACAAAGAAGTAAAAGAAAATAACTGAAACTTAAATGTGAAAAACTCTTTATAATTCAATCCATAATTTTACATATTCACCT